TTACATGCTTCGAATTCCTTATATAAAGTTATGCAGTGTTCTAAGCAACCTGGATGGGTTGCTGTACGTGATGCAACACTTATAACCACAAGAGACTTGAGACTTGACTTGGACTCTAGCTCAAAGACTTGAGACTTGACTTGGACTCTAGCTCAGAGACTTGAGACTTGACTTGGACTCTAGCTCAGAGACTTGAGACTTGACTTGGACTCTAGCTCAGAGACTTGTGAGCATCTCTGTTGATTTCTTGAACGCAATAATTACCAATCAGAAGCATTTACGATGGACTCCCCTCACCGCTCAAAACAGACTTTTTGTTCAGTGACGAATTCTGTATGCTGGCAAATCCTCTAATTATAACAAACATAGTGTATATATTATGAAAGCTTCATTGATAATAACAGATGTGTGAGATCGCAATGAACTGATGTCAGCTTTTTAGGAATTATTATGGGAGCGTGCATCAGGCATGCCAAACCATGCACGCAGTAGCTGCTTGCTTTTATGTTATAACAGTGGTTTGTGTGTTAATGCTTTATAACGAATAATTTATCAGGAGCATTTATGCTGATGTGTATGGTGGCGACACGTAGGCTAACTTGAAAGTATTTGGAGGTACAGAAAAAAGTCTTTTTGTGGGCGGGAGCGGGACAAAACATACATGTTGCGGGCGGGAGAAAGTAATATAGAAAGTAGTTGAGAACGTCAGTTATAACGACCCACGTATTAAAAAATAGTCGGGTTTAAACCGGGCTCGGGCTCATAATTACAGTTAATGTGACGGGCAGGGCCGGACCGGGCTCGGACACAGCGGGCTCGGGTAGGGTCTTGCTTGATTTTTTTGGGCCCGATCTAAGCTCTACCTCGGGTAAGTTATGCTAACACTTACAGGCACGAATCAGCCGTTTGTCCTTGGGTAACTTGTGGAGCCTCTCCCCCGTTTTTGATGTATTCGTACATCCCGCACAAACACAATAGTTAACCATTTTTGCTAGCTAGGTCTCCAATATAACGTAACTCTAGGCTTGTAGCATAGACAGTAAAAGCTTGGAGTACCTTTTATGACGTCACGCCCAGCTAGTGGAAGGGAGGGGGCGTGCTTAAAAGCACTGTAAAACGTACCAACTTTTCATATTATATTCAGCATTTTGGTATAAAAAACATAAAAAAACAATGGTGGACGGTTCTTATCTTTATGTTTAGTAAGCACATTGCATTATCTTCGTGAAATTTTTTACCTGCAATTTACACTTTAAGAAGAGGATCTATGACCTCTGGAAGGATCTCTTTCAATAGCTTAGTCAGTATAGGGTCTAACATACATGTTGTTGATTTAGATGATTTAACGAGTTTAGACATTTCTTCCTCTCCTATAGCAATGAATGAATGGAATTTTTCCTCAGGGAGACTATCACGTCCGATGTGATACTGTAGCAGACGGTTGCATAGTTATAATTTTCTCTCTAATATTATCAATCTTGTAAGTAAAGAAGTTCATAAAGTCATTACTGCTGTGCTGTTTGAAAACGTCGTTAATTTAGCTACTGTTGCGAATAAATACCTAGGGTTGTGTTTGTTTTCTTCTAAGAGTGTTGAAAAATAAGCAGATCTAGCAGTTTTTAAGGCCTTTCTGTACGCAATCGTGCTCTCTCTCAACGAAATGCGAAAAAATTCTCATTTTGATTTCTTCCAGCTACGCTCTGGACTATTTTCTTTAATCTTCTTTAAGCGCAATGGAGCAATTGTGTCTAAAGTGCTGGAAAAGAGAGTGTCAATCATTTATGTTGCAACATCGAGTTCTTCTAAGCTATCTGGGATCCTAACGAAATGAAACTGATCAGGAAGATTATTTATAAAGCAATCTTTAGTGTCAGAAGTGATAGTTCTACCATATTTATAACACAGAATCGGTTTTGCAGCCTTGGCTAAAATAAGTATACATGAGATTAAAAAAATGATCTGAGATGTCATCACTCTGCTGCAGAATTTCAGCGGCATCAACATTCATTCCATGTGACAATATTAGATCTAAAGTATGATTACGACAATGAGTAGGTCCTGGCACGTGTTGTCTAACTCCAATAGAGTTCGGAATGTCTTTAAATGCCAATCCCAATGCATCTTTTTCATTATCTACATGGATATTAAAATCACCAACAATTAGGACTTTATCTGCAGCCAGTACTAACTCTGATAGAAAATCAGTAAATTCTTTGATAAAATCTGAATTGTGCCCTGGTGGCCTGTATACATTAGCCAGCACAAAAGTCGAACGGGATTTATACTACACCACATAACGTTACAGAAAGCACCATCACTTCAAATGAATTATATTTGAAACTAGATTTCTGAGTAATACTGAAGATATTGCTATAAATTACAGTAATACCTCCCCCTTTTCCTTTTAAACAAGCCTCGTGTTTATAGTAATAATCTTGCCGGGTGGACTAATTTAAAGTAATGTAATTGTCTGGTTTTACCCAAGTTTCTGTCAAACACAGCACATCTAGGTAATCAAGTCTGTAATCATATCATTAACAAAAAGTGCTTTTGAAGAAAGGGATCTAATATTCAGCAACCCAAGCTTTATCATTTGTTCATCTGCATTATATTTGTATTTTTATTTGTTGAACATCAATCCAATTTTTACCCTTAAATGGGTTTGGGAGTTTTTTGTATTTCCTAATTCGGGGAACAGATACAGTCTCTGTATAATGATATCTAGGTGAAAGAGACTCTTTGTGATGGGATTTATCTGACCTCAGTGACGTGAGACAGCTAGCAGACGGTCAGTTTAGCCAGTCTGTCTGCTTCCTGACCTGAGCCCCTGATTGTCATGTTTGAGCTCTATGACTATGTGCCATATTACTAGAGAGAAGAGCAGCACCATCCCAGGAGGGATGAATACCATCTCTTTTCAACAGGTCAGGTCTACCCCAAAAACTTTTCCAATTGTCTATGAACTCTATATTATTTTGCGGACACCACTTAGACATGGCTGTCTAAGTGGTGTCCGAATAAATACCTAGGGTTGTGTTATATTACTTTTCAACACTCTTAGAAGAAAACAAACACAACCCTAGGTATTTATTCGTATTAGTAATAATTATTCGTAATACCTATAAATAATAGTCTCCATTGAGTGAGGACAGTCTCCTAACTATCTCATCACTCCTTCGAACAGGAAGGGGGCCAGAGCAAATTACAGTGCCTGACATCGTACTTGCAAGTTCACACACCTCTTTAATGTTAATTTTAGTGTTCTCCGACTGGGGAAGTCGAACATCATTAGTGCCGACGTGAATAATAATCTTAGAGAATTTCCGTTTAGTATTAGCCAGCACTTTTCGATACAAAAATATAAATTGTACAATGAATATTTTGGTAGAAATACTGTACTGTACTACTGTACAAATTTGCTTTGATGTCAGGCGCTCTGGCTTCCGGCAAACATGTGACTATGGTGGCTGGTATTTTCACGTTCCGTGTAATAGAATCGCCAATAACTAGGGCACATTCAACAAGATTCTCAGTGGGTGTTTCACTGAGTGTGGAGAACCGGTTTAATGTTGTAATCTGAACGGAAGAGCGGTGTTTTGTCCCACGACTACAGCATCTCACGGTCACCCAGTTGCCCGGCTGCTCTACAGCCGGAATCGAACAATGTACAGAGGTCACTAAGCTAGTCGCATCCAAAGCAGTATCTAAAGCCCTTGCACTCATACAATTAACCTCAATTAAAGTTTGGATGCGTGTCTCTAGTTCTGAAATCTTCTCCATCAGCCTGACTGTCTCCCTGCACTTATCACATGTAAATCCTATATTGCTGACAGAGAAGGCTATACTATACATGTGACATGAAGTGCAAGTGACAATAACAGGAGAAGACATTACTCACCGTTGACTGATCCTATATTTACCACAGTTATATGGATCCGTAAAAGGCGCACAAGAAAAAATAAATAAATAAAGACCGCAGGCACGGATGGCGCATTAACAGGCTAGCGAGTTACTAGCGTGATGTGCAGACTAGCGAAATTACTAGCGTGTTGTGCTAATATAACGATTTAGATAGAAGCTAGCGATGTCAGATTAATGGGTGGTGATGAGTAAGATATAATTAGCAATATAAACAACACAGAATGATAGTAAATAAAGATTCAAAACAGAAAGCAATACGGAGCTAACATACGCAAACCACTCAGCAGCAGGCAGACAGGAGCAATCGATCCTCGAGCACAGATCCAATCAGTCAACAAAGTCTAGATGAGATAGCACTCCAGGCCACCGGAAGCACCTATGCAGTTCCTCTGGCACCGTGGGACACCGTAGTTCCTCTGGCACCTATGTCCACCACTGAATATCAGCATCAGCTCTATTATGCCGATATGCCTTGCCAATAAGATGATGAGTTGAATATGCGCCTGCAATGACTTGCATGTGCAAGGAGCGCTAGTGATAAGATCACATCAGCAGTGTGGTCATCTTGAAGTGAACTTATGCAGTATGGTGAATAAGATTTTGGCCTTGAACGGGAATATGATACCTGGTTTGCGATACCTGTCAACAGAATAAATTTATTAATGTATAGTTAATAAAATTTGTTCAAACAGATGATGAAAATAACTTTAATCAGAAGAGCTCTAAATGAATTTTAGAACTTTTATCTAGAACTTTTATTTCTAAAAGAGAATCACGTTAACGACTCCATTGCTGTAGACCATCGACAAATGTCAAAATCGTCAAAGAAAATGTTTTGGTTTCAACTGCATCTGTCTGAAAAAAGTAGCTTGCATTGTACTCATTGTTTATTTAGTTCTAACAAGGTTATTGGTAAAAAGGGAAATGTGTATTGTATCAGCATCAGTTATCGGCAAAAATTTGTTGACAAATATCAGCATATCGGATGTTGGCAAAAATTCAGTATTGTGCATGCCTAATGAATAAGTACAAATAAAAAGGATTATATACCTGCAGCTTACACATTGTCTTCATTACAGGCCTTGAGCTCAGAATTGGCCCAGGCCCGCGACGATTCCAAGAAGACCCAAAATGACGTGTTGCATGCAGAGAATCTGAAGGCTGGCCGGGATAAATACAAGACCCTACGCCAGATCCGCCAGGGCAACACCAAGCAGCGTATTGATGAGTTTGAGTCCATGTGAGGTCTATACCATCCCCGTTAATCAACCTATTCTCTACCCTGTATCCCTAATGCCTTGATGGGTGGCTTACAAGCACGACTTCTTCCTGCCCACTCCTCACCTATAGACCCATAATCCTTGACCTTTGACCCCTTCAGAGAGGTTTGGGGGACATGGCTGCCACTCCCTCAAGCTTTGCCAAAGCTCTCTCCGCCTGTGATCAGCTTTGTTATGCTGTGCACGTGCATTGAGCTCCTCATAGCCCTACTCCAAAACCGTCCAGTTAGGAACAAGTGGTATATCCTATCTTTATAAACTCTTAAATGATGATTTACTAAAAATGTTTGAAAATATGTATTTTAGAAGAGACTGAAATTAGTTAACGCAAAATGTATGAGTGTTTTATGAAATAGCCATTTTTGTTTGTTTGTTTTTGTCATTGTTTTTGTTGTTGTTTTTTTGCAACTCAGCATTTTTCTTCTTTCATCTATATATATATATATATATATATATATATATATATATATATATATATATATATATATATATATATATAATAAGCTATTACTCTTGCTAGGGCTTACAGGTGAACAGACAATAGTTGTTGTTTTTTTGTTTGTTTTTTGGATTTTTGATTGTACTTATTGTGGGGAAACACTCTGAGGATATTCATTTGTGGAATAGATAGAAAGTTATGTTCTGTTCATCTGTGATTTTTGGGGAGGCATTTTTGTGCGAATGTATTTGTACACCTGCATACTCATGTGGTTGTTTTGTAACAGCTGTGGCCTTTCTGGCTGGGGAGGATTTTATAACATCAGTACTGTTTTCGGGATGGCTTGCTACCTCAGTCACGATGTAAAACATCGTGACTGGTTAGTCAAACACCTGGTGCACCGTACGGCAGAGAGAGGCAAGTGTTGTAATTTTGTTCTTTTTGAGTTCTTGTTACCCAATTCTTAAAGGGACACTTCACCCATTTGCATTAAGCTTTGTATCTTTAGAAACCCAGTCATTTTTTTGAATGGTCATGGTTTATTCCCTTATTTTCCCCTGAGATGGGAGAAATAATGATTTAAGTGTTCCACTTCCTGCTTTTTATGACGTAAAAATCGTCATTTTGCGTCATAAAAAGCAGGAAGTCGCATTTCTTTGTATAAGGGTTGAGACTACAAACACTAGCTCATCATTTATCCAGGGGGTGGGACCCACTCACGCTACAGACCTATCACAGATCAGTTGGTGGGACTTCACTTGCAGATACTGAAATCAATATCTGCCATCTTGTTTGGAAGCTAAGCTAACAAGCGCTGTGGAGATAGGACGTAACGACAATGACAGAAGAAACTAAACATGATATGGAAGAATTTTGAGGATTTTGAAAATCTGCTGCTCGAATCCGATGTTCGAGGCTATCTTTACGAGCCGCAATATAGTGAAGAGCAGCTGAGGCTGATGGAGGAACAGGAGGCGGCTGCTGCGGCTTCTGCAGTCGAGGCAGAAGACCTGCCTGTCGCGGATGAGGAGCCCAGACTGGCTCGAGCTGAGGCGGACTGCTGGTGCCTGTGCTCTCGCTGTGCGCTACGGACACAGAGTCCGTCTGCTGCAGAGAATTTCAACGATGGCAATTTCTCCTGGACGAAATCTCTGAATCAGACGAGCACACGGACGTTTGTGTCGTGATGTGAACCACCGGTATCATGCAATAATTCACCATATAGAAAGAAATACAAACAAGGAGTAATTCACTAATGAGTTTGCCAACTAACTAGAAATTTTGTGTAAAATGAATTTCAAACTCTGGTGGCAGCTAGCCTTGTAGACGGAAGAGTGATTTCTCTGATGTTTGTGTTGTTCTGGATTAGTGGGAGTGGCTCGCGGAGCTGTGCAATGTGGTGCATTGTGGGAGTTGTTGTCTTACATACAAATGTGCCCTAAAGTTATTTTCTGTCTTTTCTCGGTCAAGAGGGCACCAAATTCAAAAAAAAATTTTTAAATAAAGATGAATGTTGAAATGGGTGAAATGCTCCTTTAATATTGCCTTTTGCACTTGAACGTCTCTTGGAAATTGTATTGTAGGTAGATATCATCCTACAATAATACTTTGGCTGGTTAGGGTTAGGGGTGGTATGAAATTGTGTTGTATTAAGCAGCCTAAGATATGTGGATGATAATTCATCCTATAGATGAACTGCAATTTGTTACCAAAGCTATCTTGTCAGTATTCTCATTTAACTTGACATTTAACACAACATGACAAAAATTGTGTCATTGTCTGATCCAACTTCAGTATGTTAACCCCGTCTCATAATGAAGAAGCATATGTGACCAGTTACGGAAACTAGGGACACAAGTCGTTCTGGAGCATTTTGAGTTATTGACAGATTCTGAAAGTGTGGTCTCCAAGCTTTCCAACGATGTGTAACACATGGAAATCTGATAATATTTGGAGAAGTTGTAGCCATTTGAAGTTAGGCACTCAAAAAAACTAAAAGTGGAGAAAACCGCCTCGAAAAATGTGCAGTTCTCACCTCTCTCTGCTGCTGGGAGTGACAATAGGGCTCATTTACATCTCATTTAGATAAGCCATACCCCCTGTAAAGCTCTCCCTGTGCTTTACAGCTTTTTTTTTTCTTTCCTGAGCTAGCTAATAACAATAGGTAGGTATGGGAAGGTCTAAACAGACTAAACATGAGATAACATGTACGTGTTCTTAGAATTAAAACAAAACGACAAACTTTAATGTTTAATGCAAACTCACCCCCAGGACCGGCGAATGCACTTCTGCCGCTCTAGGCGAAAAACAATTGTGCTGCCCCTCTATTTGCAACGTTTACCAGCAACAACACACAAAGACCAATATGCCATATACATATAACGCAAAACAAGCAACAACACACAAAGACCAATAAGCCATAGGCCTACAAATAACGCAAATAGTGCGCAACGCGCGTGTGCCCAAAATGTCAACAATATTAAAGTTTATGCAGGAGGTAAATGCCTGCTGGCATTTTTCTTTAAGCAGTCATGACAGGAATTTTCCAAATAATCATATTTCCTCCTCAGATTACTGTTGCAAATCTCTTTACACCACTTTCTTATGTGCGTATACACACACAAATGAAATGTCCGCAAGCATATTATATCATCAGCAGGTTCAGCATCTTACATAACGACTAAGGAGCAAATAAAGCTTAACTTACGTTTCAGAAACGCGCACGGCAGGCCTTCATCGCAGCAAAGGTCTTAACTGCATCCTCTATTTCGATTCTCTGTGCCAGTTCATGTTCTATGGAGATTGTTGCCAGTCCATTAAGTCTGTTCCCTGTTCACAAAACGTTCCCCATTCAAAGCAATCGGGACGTCACATAATATGAAACAGTTAGCCACCGCTGTCAGCGAGCCGAGCCGCCGTATTCAAGCACAGAGGGTGCGCGCGCCGCGCCCATACCTCCGGTTCAGTTTCCCGAGCCCACAAAGTGCGGCGAAAACATTTTCGGTGTAACTGCCACGGTTCAGCTCGTCTGCGACAATCTTTGCGGCATCGATCTTCATTGAATTTTGATATCAGATAGAGCCGGCCAGAGTGCTGCATAATAAGTAGCACGCTGTTGGGGGGGCGGGGAGCAAAAGCGCCGGCGGCTATTCAGTATGGAAATACACACAGACAATGACACGCCCCTACTGCATGCTAGAATCTCAGAAAAACAAGCCGATTTCAACCTCAAAATGTACGTTTTAAATATACCAATACTGTTATCTCAAACATGGAGAGGCTTCTTCATGATCTCAACTAACAGATTCTGCAAAAAAGCGGAAATCACCAATTTTGGAAAAAAACGCTTCTTTCTCATTTTGCTCGCAAGTTGTGCTGCCGACTTGTGTCCCTGGTTTCCGTGACGGGTCACATATCTGTTTAGAACATATCATGTTTTTTTTACTTTTTTCCCCATTCTTTTTCTTTACGAGACTTCTTTCAAGATGTTACTTACCCAGAACTTTTTTTTATGTCCACCTTTTCAAAATTCTTATCAAGTCTTGGTTCAGTTGACTCCTCTAGTCTTTCACCACACAATATTTTCTCTGCTCAGCTGGTATGTGTGCAGTATTGCAGTAGAGACCCTGTAATACTCAGTTATCCAGGACCTGTACTTCTTTTATTTCACATTTTGCATGATAAAATATCTTCAGCATATCGGTTAAAAAAAATAGTTGTGAAATCAGGCTAATAAAATAATTTCCTTCTTTTATTTTATTTAAAATTTCTCCCCTTTTTTATGCAATAATTTTAAAAGGATTGATTATTGGTTTTTCACAGGACTATTTTGATTAATTCTTTGAATTTTATGCTAGCAAAAATAGATGGGGGAATGTTTGGATCATATCTTCATACCAGAATGTTCAGGAAAATTCTAAAGAATTTGTTTGGGATATTAATGAAGTAGAGGGGAAGTTATGTTGTTTCCCAAGGCGTGTCCATGATGGGATGTATTTGCCATAGCAAGATCAATAATGTGCTTCCATTTTTTTCTTTCTTTAAGCTTTTTGAAACTAAACCACCAGCATTTGCATTTACTAAAAAGGGGATAAAACAAGTTGCAGGGGAGTTGCAGTTTCATTCTCGCTTTGTTCATATAGCTTTCTGTTACATAGAAATAGCACATTGGATCAATGCCCATGTATAGCAATGCCCATCTAAATATTTGGTTGAAAATAAAGATTGAATATTTATTTTCTGCTTATTTTTGTGCCATTTATTCTTTGGTTTTCCTGTTAAGGTAATTCAAGTGTGGATGTCTAAACATCTTTAAATAGTACAGTATTTCTACCAAAATATTCATTGTACAATTTATATTTTTGCATCGAAAAAAGGAAAGGAGCGGTCAAAAGCAATTGAGTTTTGACATGTACTTTGCATAATGTGTCCTAGATTGAAACGACAGGGTCTGTTAAAAGTCTGACTCATATAAATCCTCAGTAATGGCATTGTGAGTGAAAAAGATGCAAATCTGATTAAGGTT